TAACACTGGGTCATGATAATTGCAGAAATTGTGTAAAAGCAAAGGCGAATAGGAAAAATGTGCAGAAGAAAAAACATATGATGGTATTTTATGCTAACAGTCGAAGTGCAAGAAATAAGATTAATGAACTACGATTGGTAGCGTGTGCTGGGAACTTTGATGTCATTTCTTAAACTGAAACGAGGTATGATTTAAAGAATCGGGATATGATTGCAGAGTGTAATATTAAAGGGTTTAACTTGTTCCATGTGGATAGATGTAATGGGAAGGGGGAGGAGTTGCATTATATGTTCGAGAAAATAGTAATTGTTGCATAAAAACAGGTATAAAAATAGATGAAATAGTAACAGAATCTGTTTGGGTAGAGTTTGTAGAAGGTCAAGAAAAACTTTTCTTTTTTTTTAACACATCGGCCAATTCCCACAAAGGCAGGGTGGCCCGAAAAAGAAAAACTTTCATCATCATTCACTCCATCACTGTCTTGCCAGAGGGGTGCACTACATCCAGGCTTGGATCACGATAAGAGGGAGACTTCTTTGGGACGAAATTGTTAGGGCTTCTAGACACAATAACGTAGTGATAATAGGGGATTTTAACTTTAGTCAAATTGACTGGAATTCTTTGACCGGTAATCTGGAGTCCAGTTACTTTATGGAAACAGTTCAGGACTTTTTTTTGAAGCAGTGTGTAACAGAGCCTACCAGGGGTAATAATTTGCTTGACCTAGACTTATCAAATAAGGAAACACTCGTAAATAATCTGGAGATCACTGAAAAGCTTGGCGCAAGTGATCACAAATTAATCGTTGTTAGCGTCAAATGGGAATACAAGAATAATGATAATACGGTAAAAAATCCCTGATTTTCGTTCTCCCAATTATAGTAGACTTAGGGAACACCTGTCAAATCTTGATTGGAGTTGTCTAGCTAATGATTTTATTGACGATCATACTTATGATTACAAAGGGATCTCCATTTATAATTTTTTCTTAATGATGTACACCATGCTCAGAGTATATACATTCCCCAGAGAGAAATTAGGTGTAATAATAACGATCCCAAATGGGTTAACAGGAGGTTGAAGCATCTATTAGGGAAGAAAAGGGGAATTTATAGGTGCATCAGAAGAGGAGAGGTTAACCTTACTGACCAATATGTTAAGCTAAAGAGAAGTAAACAAGGGGGATTAGAAAGGTTAAACATGATGATGATATTAAAGTTGCTAATGAATCAAAGACCAATCCAAAGGGGTTCTTTCAAGTGTATAGGACGAAAGTGAAGGAAAAAGTAGGACCTCTGAAAATTGGGAATGGACAGCTGACGGATAACGAACTGGAAATGCGTTCCTTATTTAATGACTATTTTTTGTCAGTTTTTACACAGGAAGACATAAATGAGATTCCAGAAATTAACAGTTATTCAGTTCCAGATGAATTCAAATTAACTAATATATGTATTACTGTCACGAGGGACATGGTTATCAAACAGATAGACAAACTGAAGCAAAACGGAACTTCGTCAGCCATTAACGAGCGTGTTTAATGCGTCCATCCTTACTGGTGTTGTGCCAGAGTTGTGGAAGATGGCTAATGTGGTTCCTATATTCAAATCAGGGGATAAGTCCGTTCCTCCAAATTACTGTCCAATAAGCCTGACATCTATAGTGGGCAAGTTATTAGAATCAATTATAGCTGACATTATTAGAAGTCACTTTGAAGAGCATGATTTGATTAATGAATCTCAGCATGGGTTCATGAGAGGTTGTTAATGGTTGACAAATTTACTGACGTTCTTCAACAGAACATTTGAGGCAGCAGAGAGTGGTAAAGAATATGATATTGTTTATGTGGATTTAGTGATGCATGGAACACTCTTCCCAGTAGGGTGATAGAGGCAGCTTTAAAAAGAGATTGGACAAATAAACGAGTGGGAGTGGCTAGGTTTGATTTGTGTCATGAGTACGGGAGTCAATTCTTTCGTAGCTTTGGGTAGAGGTCGTTTTGATAAGGACCTTCCTTGTATGGGCCAGTAGGCCTTCTGCAGTGTTCCTCCATTCCTATGTTCTTATGTTTCATAATGAAAACACTGAAACAGTGTATTTATAAATAAGAAATATTGTATATAAACATAATAAAACATAATAGAGAATGTAAAGAAATAAACTGGTTTTCTAAAGTGTAGGTATTTACCAGTGTTGGCCACAGTTCCACTACCCGCTAATTAGCGGAACTAACAATTCTAGCAGTTTAGCATTTCTGCTAACTTCCGAAGCCATTAGCGGACCAATTAGCTTTCAATAAATAAAGTTCCGGTAACTCTGAATCCGCAAAAAAAAAAAATTCACACGTTGTTGGTGGTCGGAAAACAATGAGGAAAGCAGTAGCACCACTAATGAGAATGAAGGCGATTACTTCTTCAGCAGCATCCCTCGGTTCCAGGACAGCAGAAGATACAGGTCACTGAAGTTGAAGGCACAGAGAATGGTGAAGACCTGGCTCGAGACTGGCTCAAAGGAAGTTGCGAGTGAAATCCCCTTCTTGGGTGAGTAGGTCTTGATCAACCTATTCAAAAGTACAACAGACATCCCATCCAGTGCTGCAGCTGAGTGCCTATTCTCTATAGGCAAAGGTACTTTGGGGGACAGGAGAGCCACCCTGTCAGATGGAAACTTTGAGAGGCTGATGCTCATGAAGGGCAACCAGCATCACATCAAAGTGATGGAGAAGGCCCAGCCAGAGTAGTAATCTGCCCAGCCATCATCTGATCTTGGCATGATACCTATGCTATGCAATTTGTACAGTAAATAAAGAGTATGTTGGATTTAAACGGATGTTTGATTTCATTTGTTCATTAACTATTTGTTTGCACCTGTATGGTTGATTCACTGGTGCAGCAATAAGTTGGCCTCAAGGTTTCAACTTTAAGCATGATTTTCAACTACTACTTGTTTGTAGTTTATTGGGTTCAAAATCTAAATTATTACGTAGATGCAAACATGAACATATACAGAATAAAATCAACGAATACAATAAGTAACTGGAACTAACGAAAAAGTCAAATAAGCTAACCCAATCTGTTCATGTGCTATGGGGCTTCAGCACAGCAACAAGCATGTCCTTGTCGGACGTTCATGTTTCATCAAAAAATTAAACTCGCTATTTTCGCACTAGCGGCACTTGATCATTATATGACCTTGGAATCCTATAACTTTTTAGGAAGCTCTTTAGGTGTGTTCTAGAAAGTCTTAAAAGTAAAAGATCAAAAGATTAAACCGAATCTGAATTAGTGTGAAAAAGTTAGCTTCCGCTAATTTTTTCGGCCGTTTAGCAGTTTAGCATTAGCGGAGCTAATTTTTAGTTAGCAGATTACTGGTTAGCAAAGCTAACTTTCTGGTTAGCTGTGTCCACCACTGGTATTTACCTCGGAGAACAGATGCTAGCAGAGGTGGAGGGTGGAAAAGATAGGCAGAGGAGATGGAGGAGATAGTTTCATTTCGTGCTTTTTTTATCACTTAATTGCTTAACTTACTTGCTACACTCTTAATGCTACACATTATTGCTGAACTTAATTGCTACAATTGGCAGGGTGTTTCAATAAAAACCTGTCCAAGGAAGTTTGTTTCATTCATCTTTTCAGAATGTTTCAGAAATGAGTTAGGCAAGTGTCATTAAATTGTGCCGACGCACGACTAGTTTCAACTTTCTCTGGGCGTGTTTATTGCACTTACTTTCTTAGGACTCATGGTTAGAAAAAAGAAATTTGGCAAAATAACTGCATAAAAAGCACAAAATGCAAGCACAACACGAGATGTTTAGACAGCGAGGTAAGCACGTGCACTGCTGAGCAGATGTTGTGGCGTTCACTGCGCCAACTAGTGGCAGCGTATCTGAAGCTTGCTCATAACTCAGATTTTGGCTCATAACTCAGAGCAAAAAATCAACCGAGCAACAGCTTGTAACTCAGAAAACTCGTACGTTGGGGCACTCTTAAGTCAAGGTACCACTGTCTCTCTCTACGAGACGAAATCCAGATTACAAGAATTCAAGGAGCATAATGCAATAAAGCATAAATACTCTATTAAGAGGGTGAGTATATAGATAGGTAGTCTTAGGCAGTCAAGGTGTCAACATAATCATTATGACAAGCGAAGGCAGTTATAAAGTAACAGACTGGAAGGAGTTTGAGGAAACAAAAAATGATATTGCAGTGATAAAAGCAGCTCATAAATTTGAAGACTAAGAACACTTGAAAAATTGTAATGAACTGGCTAAGAAAACCTACTCAGAAAATCACCTTGAGGATGAAAATGGTACAAGTACATCCAGTGACCAGGGTCCTCTTGAAGATCATGTTCACCATTCAAGCTCATGAGAAATGCAAGTTCATCTACTGGCTTATGGCCTTTAGTAGAGAAAATAAGATCTGTTCACAAAACTACTGAATCAAAAAAGAAATTATTAAGACCAGCAGTTGGCTAATGTTTTAGGCTGGAATACTGCTGTACATTAATAGCATCCTTCAAAGCACGCAAAATTGCAGATCCGACAATGTACAGAGGACCTTCACTGCACACCCAAGTTCAGTTAAGGACCTCAAATACTGGGAATGTCTTAAGTTTCTGAGTGGGTTCGAATCCTGCTGATTGCAAACTTTCTCTGTTTACACCTCTGCTTGTTTCTTAGTGCACTGATATAGTATTGCTCATGTGATCAGAACATACAGATGAATGAAATAGCTGGAAACTATGACTGACACTCACTGGTGTACCTGGAACTTGGAAGAAACATGGCTTGTAACCAGGCTACCTAATGTTTTGAAGCGTCTGTAGCTGAGTTGTCTAAGGCATCATGTAGGAACTATACCACCTAATCGTGGGGTCAAATCCTGTTGACAGCGATCTTTTTAAATATAAAAATAAAAATAAATAAATGAACATATATAAACCCCCAGTATTAACAGATACGTAAGAAAAACTAAAGAAAAAACTTTTCATGTTCTTACCTTGCCAAGTGGGAACTTCTTTAGAAAGGCCTCAGATTTGTTGGTTTCACCAAAGACGAAGTTGCTGTCAACAGTGACCTTGGCCCCACTGTACTGGGCAGAAATCAGGACCTTGAATGCCCTAAAGTTTTCTGGGTATGTATACAGTGTCTGAAATTTTTAATGAAATGTTCAGAGAAAAAAATTAAGGACTATAACCTGTAAATTTCAATTAAATATAAACAAGATATTAGTCATCATTTGTTATAACATCTCTGCATATTAATTTTTTTTATTAATGAGCATGAATTAAGATTTAGAACCTTCAAAAAAATCAGTCTTTCAAAACTATTAGCTGTCAGATCAGTGGTCACCAGAGGTTGCCTATATGTCCTGTCTGCAGCCAAGTGTTTATTACTAGGGGGATTTGGATGGAGGTGTATATCTTTAGTAAGACCTCGTCAGGGATCCCTGAAGAGGTACCATTATGTGGTTGTCAATGTTTTTCTTACCCCCCTCCTTCCTCCCCTCAAAAGTTTCACTTCCAATCAAATTTTCAACACTGATATACAGTAATGGGGGGAAAGATTCTTTCAACTATTCAAAAATGTATGGGTGCTTTCTGGTCAATATTATGGAGCCCATTCTTGAAATTTTGTTTCCATCTGATTAACAAAGCCTCCTCTAATCAGCTTCAAACATTAATAAAAAAAAAAAAGGTGTATCATAATTGGAAGAGGGTTGGGATTATTGGAGGACATGACTTTACCTTCGATAAGCTCTGAGAGTTTTTCTACTCCCAGAGCCCAGCCTAAGGTTGGGCTTGTCTGGAGCTTGCCTAGTCAACCAGGCTATTGTTGCTGGTGGCCCACTGACCCACACATCCATCACAGTGTACCTGATCTGGCACCTGGTAGATACTTGTCCAGTTTCCTCTTGAAGACTTTTATACTTGTCCCAGCAGTGTTAACCCTTTGACTGTTTCGGTCATATATATACGTCTTACGAGCCACTGTGTTTGATGTATATATACTCAAAAATTCTAGCAGCGTCAAATCAAGCAGGAGAAAGCTGGTAGACCTACATGTGAGAGAATGAGTGTGTGGTCAGCGTGCACCATACAAAAAAAATCTGCAGCACGCAGTGTATAATGTGAAAAAAAAAAAAACTCAGACCGCGTTTTTGGATTAAAACGCCGACTTTGTGGTGTATTTTCGTACAGTACAGTGGACCCTCAACCAACGATATTAATCCATTCCAGAGAGCTTGTCGTTAGTCGAATTCATTTTCCCCATAAGAAATAATGGAAATCCAATTAATCCAGTCTAAACACCCAAAAGTATGAAAAAAAAAAAATTTCACATGAAATATACATTTTCCTACACAGAAAAAGAAGGATACATGCACAATAAATACTGGACTGTACTAAATGAAGAATAAATGACACTCACCTTTACTGAAGATGTAGTGATGAGATGGGAGGAGGGGTGATGGAGGTGTATTAATTTGGGAACAACTTGAGTCACTGGACCTCTGTCACACCAAAAATCTGTCCATTGAGCTCTTCCAGAACAGGCCTGTTTTGTCACAATTGAACACTTGTTGGGGTTGAAATTCACCATGCCTTATAACACTGTGTATGCCACTACAATTCTTAAATCTCAAACCAACCTTTGCTGCCCTTAAATTCACCAATATGAGCACTAGTTCCTGGCATTTTTTCATGTTCACCTGGGTGTTAGTCAACTGGTGTGGGTCACATCCTGGGGGACAAGATTAAGGACCCCAATGGAAATAAGTTAGACAGTCCTCGATGACGCATTGACTTTCTTGGGTTATCCTGGGTGGCTAACCCTCTGTGGTTAATTGTGTCTCGGTAATCGTTTTTCGTTAAGCCACACCAACACCACTCCACATCTTCTAGTAGCAGCTGACCATGGTAAACAGCAGCTAACTGTGGTATGATAGTATTTCTCACCCTTTTTACTACTGGGTTAGCACTAGAAGATTTCTTTGGGTCCATGGTGGCTTACTTAGTTACAACCAGTAAAAATAATAGAATACAAAATGTATCGAATGTATGCGTGAAACTCTCCACCCTGGCTTGTAAACAATGGCACACTAGCTGACGGCAGGGCAGCCGAGGCACTCAGGCTGGACAGACAGGTTCAGGACGAATCATGTTGGTCAAGTTTTTCATCGTTGGTCGGGGGTCCACTGTATTTATGGTTGTATTCTCGTTTTCTTGGTCTCATTTGATAGAATGGAAAACATATTATAGAAATAGAGGTGATTTTGATTGGTTTTACTATGAAAAGAACCTGGAAATGGAGCTCAAAGTAGGGGACATGTTTGATTTTTGCCAATGTTCAAAAGTAAACAAATGTCATTGTCCAATACATGTCCAAATAGCCATTCTAATATGCAGTCATGAATGGGTTGGCATTATTTATACAATTATTACAATATTGAAGAAGTCTGCATGACAGTAAATCTTCTATTTTTTGTTTGAATAAAAATTCAAAATAGAAAGCAAGAGTAATATCAGAGGGGCCTGGAGACATGACTGATGAACAAAGAAAATGTTATTTTAGAGCCAGGAATGTCTGCATTGTTCATTCTGGACCCTATTTTGAAATTGGCATATTTTTTTAATTTGTGTGAAACTGGCCAAATTGAAAATTTCTGACCATGTTATTGGGTAGTTGATATCAGTAAATGGGCAGTTTCTCATACTCAATCGATAGAACAAATGGAGTTCTAAAGAAATAGCTATGAGTTTGGTTGACTGGAACAATGGAATTAGCCAAAAACAGGGCTCAAAGTGGGCGAAATCGCCGATTCGTAAATATCACCAAGGTCGCCAACTTAACGAGAGCATAATTCCCTAAGTTTTCCATCAAATATCGTTCTTTTGGTGTCATTACCATTGGGATAAGATTCTCTATCATTTCATAAGAATTTTTTTTTTTTCAAATATTTTGCAGCACCAGAAGACACCTCAGGATTTGGGGTTGTAACAGCCAAAGGGGTTAATGGCACTAGGACCAGCTTGAGTCACTGGACCCGACACACACACACGCACGCGCGTGCACACGCGTGCACACACGCGCACACACAGGACCCTGTACACCGTGTACGTTAGGCCCATATTGGAGTATGCGGCACCAGTTTGGAACCCACATCTAGCCAAGCACGTAAAGAAACTAGAGAAAGTGCAAAGGTTTGCAACAAGACTAGTCCCAGAGCTAAGAGGTATGTCCTACGAGGAGAGGTTAAGGGAAATCAACCTGACGACACTGGAGGACAGGAGAGATGGGGGGACATGATAACGGCATACAAAATACTGAGAGGAATTGACAAGGTGGACAAAGACAGGATGTTCCAGAGATTGGACACAGTAACAAGGGGACGCAGTTGGAAGTTGAAGACACGAGATGATCCAGAGGATGTTAGGAAGTATTCTTCAGCCACAGAGTAGTCAGTAAGTGGAATAGTTTGGAGCGATGTAGTGGAGCAGGGATCCATAATAGCTTTAAGCAGGTATGAAAGTCACGGTTCAGGGAGAGTGACCTAGTAGCGATCAGTGGGGCAGGGCCAGGAGCTCGGACTCGACCCCCGCAACCTCAACTAGGTGAGTACACACACACGCACGCACACGCGCGCACACACACACACACACACACACACACACACACCACACACACACACACACACACACACACACACACACACACAGTCCAGAGGTCTGTTTCTGGCACCTCTAAGATTTGCCTGAAGTGGGCCAAGGTTTTGTCACTGAACATGTTGCAGATATTTTTTTCAGCTTGGTCAGGGTGATATTTCTCAGCAAAAGCTTGCACCCTACTCCAGGCCTGCTGCAGTGTTCCTCCTTTCTTATGTTCTTACATTGCACAAATATTAATCTCTGAAGAAGGCACCTCCTTCCTTCTTTCCTCCTCATCCTCTGAAGCAAGTTCCTCAGCTGTGGTCTGTTGCTGATCCAGTTGAAAGTGTTGCAGCTCTTCAGTGGTTAGCTCATTCCTGTGGTCCTCCACCAACTCTTCCATATCACCATTCACATCCAACCCCATGGACTTCCCCAAAGACACAACAAGCAGAGGGTCATCAGGGTCAGCCTCAAACCCTTCAAAATCCTTCTCGAGGACATTCTGGCCACAATTTTCTCCAAGAAGAGTTCAAAGTCCTGGAAGTCACTCCCTACTAAGTCTTACCTATAAGGCTTATGCAGTAGTAGATACTGAAGTGATTCCTCCAGAATTTTCTTGGGGTCAATTCAGTATCCAAGGTCACTTCAAAGCACTTTTGAAAACACTTGCTTTTGTGATGAGTTTTTTGAAGTTAGAAATGACCTGCTGGTCCATGGGCTGGATGAGAGGAGTGGTGTTAGGAGGCAAGAACTTCACTGTTATAAAACTGAAATCCCAAGACAATTGGTCTACCAAATTTGGAGGATGAGCAGGAGCATTGTCCATTCCAGGAGGCACTTGAGTGGCAATTTATTTTCTTGAGAGGTATTTTTTCACACCCGGGCCAAACACTTCATGGACCCAGTCAATGAAAAGTTGCCTCGTGACCCACGCCTTATTATTAGCTTTCCACATCACGCACAATTTACTCTTGACGACTGTTTTTCATGAACACGCTGGAATTTTCAGTGATACACCAGTAAAGGCTTCACTTTGAAATCCCCACTAGCATTAGCACAGAACAAGAGTTAGCCTATCCTTCATAGGCTTGTGTCCTGGCAGTGCTTTTTCCTCCTTCGTGATGTAGGTCTTCTTTGGCATTTTCTTCCGAGAGGCCTGTTTCGTCACAATTGGGTGGAATTCTTCAGTCTCTACGTACCCCTTGAATTCCTGCACAAATTTTTCAGCTGCATGTTTGTCTGAACTTGCAGCCTCACCATGTCTTACAACACTGTATGCCACTACACTTCTTAAATCTGTCAAACCAGCCTCCACTGGCCTTAAATTCACTAACATCAGCACCGGTTCCAGGCATTTTTTTTTTTTACTAGATTCGCATGCAACTGCCTTGCCTCTCCACAAATGATTGTCTCTGAAACACTATCTCCTGCTAACTGTTTTTCACTGATCCACAACTCCACATCTTCCATCGTTTGTGATCTCTTCTTTGTTAACATGTTT